ATATTTGATTGTGATTAATAATATGTTTTAATGTGAAATAATAATATTTGTCAATCAATTCCGAAAATAAATCCTAAACACTCAGTACTAAGAACCACACAAGATAATTTCATCACAAGTAAAAATGTTTGACGCGCAACAAAGTGGGCACGGGTCAGCTAGTTTTTTATAATTAATGTCTGGACCGCCTATTTAAGCTTTTACCTCTATGTTATTGGTTTTTAACGAAAATGATACAATTTAGAAGAAAATCTGCTTCATTAGAAACAGTTTTATTGTTCTCAATAAATTAATTTCAGTGATAGCTAATAACATCATTAGCTTTATGTTATTATGGCCATTAAACGTACATTTCGTTAGATATGAAATAATCAGTTTATTAGGAGGATTAGTGAGAGTTCATACCGTTAATATTTACTCGGCTAAATAGTATATCATATATTATATCTTAAAGTATATATGTTACTGCTGGACGTGGGCCTTTCTCATCTGGACGATTTTTGTTAGCAGTATCCGACGTATTGCTCTTTTAACGCTACTCGTATACTAAATAATTGTAATTTTATTCAGAACAAAAATGATTAGGTTTCACCGATCATATTGCAGTTCAGCCAACTAATTGCCACATGCATTCAGGACAACTTAAAAGCTAATCAATTGCTTCATCGTTGTCTTCGCATTCGCACATTAAAACTTCTATCATGTGCCAATGACTGATCGTGACACTGACAAATGAGCCTAGCCTGGCTGAAAAGCCATCTTTTTATGTTTTTTTTTTCTTATATGTATGTTACGGGATATCTTCGTTAATTGCTATTCGATTTTGATAATTTTTTTTTTGTTAAATAGGTAATTCTTCTACAGTGGTACCCATACGACGGCTCCGTGACGCAGTGGCTGAGCAATGAGTTGCAGCGTTCGGGGCCGCAGGTTCAAATTTCTCACGGAACAAGTATTTATATGGCCTACAAATAATTGTTTCTGGTTTGGATGTTTGTCCTTGTAAATTTATGTACGTAAACTGCCCCCACGATACAGGAGAAAATATAAATTAGGAGAAAATTTCCACCCCTAAGGTAGACAAAATAAAGTAGTTACTATTTAGACAACATTGAAATTGTGTATTCGTTAGATCACTTAAAATAATTAAAAAATACCTTTAATATAAAGTAAAGCCAACTTTAAAGAAGAGTGACTCCGATAATATCCACATTTAATCAGAGTTAAGCATAAATATAACAACTCAGATCTTAAACAGCCAACTGACCTTAGATTAGGCAAAGATCCGAGAATAACCTTTTTCGCCGTTTATGTAAAACAATGTGATAATTAAATCTAACATAATCACGCCGTTGACCATAAACGAAATTTCATTTTTTGTAGGCAAAGGACAAATAAGCGAGTTCTGTCGCGAATTCGGCAGCGATTTCTAATTTAATCTTTTAAAATGAAATGAACGTGCAGATATTTTTGTAATTTAAACGAATTAGAACTTAAAATGCTTGTGGTGTTGTGTTTATTTAGACATTATTTTAATTACGTGTATTTTTATAACGAGTAAGAAAATCTTTAGTTAAATGATTTTCTTAAATCAATTTTAAAAAGACAATAAACATATATTAACTAAGTTTATGATACCGATGTGTTTTTTAACGATAATTATTTACTAATCTAAACAAATAAATAAAATTGAAGTGTCTGTTTGTAATGTCAAAATTATAGCTTTTTACTAAATGCATATGAAAGTATATACGGTATTAATAACAAAAATACAATTTTTAAAGTTTTTGTCTGTCTATCTGTCTGTCTGTCCGTCTGTCTGTATGTTTGTTCCGGCTAATCTCCGAAACGGCTGGACCGATTTTGATGGGATCTTCACTGGCAGATAGCTAATGTCACAAGGAGTAACTTAGGCTACTTTTATTTTAGAAAAATTAAAACTCCAAATAACACGCGGGCGAAGTCGCGAGGAACAGCTAGTTTAACATATAATCCGACCGATTTGCTATATTATATCGAGGAAATAAACCATCGAAGAAAAAAATTTGTGAAACATTTAAGTTATACTTACACTTGTTAGTTCTATAATTAAAGACAATAATTATTTACGACAAAATAACAAAAATGACAAAAATATATTCAAATATCGGCAAAGTGCACACTACGATTATGTACAAATAACGTCCTGTGTCACCTTCCCACATTGTGTAACATGATTAGAGCAATAGGGCACAGCAATTTTTAAGTATTTTCATAAATTTTTTCTAAAAGAAACCATAAACAATATTTTTTAAATAAAACAAAAGTGGTAAGCGAACTTATAGTTCACCTGAAAGTAAAAGTGGCTACTGCAGTCCATGAACACCGACAGCCAACTTCCAACGAAGAAAGCTACAGATGCGTTGTCCACTACACACGAGCTCTCTTTACTTTTCAGATTCGAAACAAAGCAGTGCAAACATTGTTATCTGTAGTAATAAAGTGAGGTACCTACAAATACGGAATCCACACAGAAGTAAATGTGAATATGTATTTCTTTTAAACTATACCTTATATTAACATTATTTGATATTTTTTGTTACCTACTTACTTCGATACTTTGGTAGATACAGTGGGGGACAGTAATTTTGAGGCATTTGTTCAAAAAATGTTCAATAAACTCAAAATTAGTAAAATAGTACTTCAAATAACTTAAGCAATTGATTCTTTGAAATTAATTTTATTGATTATTTTCTTCTTTATTTTCTTTACTGTTAACTTAATTGTTTATTTCCTTTCAGTTCTTTGATTCACAATGATGATTAACAGAAATATTTATTGCAGCTTTGCAGCTTCCCATTTTTGTCCCCTAAAACGAATCCTAAACTAAAGTCGAATATCCCATTTTTCTACCGACTTCAAAAAGGAGGAGGTACTCAATTAGACTGTATGTTTTTTTATGTGTGTTACCTCATAACTTTTTCAAAATTACTAAAATAGTGCTTCAAATAACTTAAGCAATTGGTTACTTTCTTTGAAATTAATTTTATTAATTATTTTCTTCTTTATTTGCTTTACTGTTAATTGAATTGATTATTTTCTTTGAAGTTCTTTGACACACAATGATGATTAACGGAAATATTTATTGCAGCTTCCCATTTTTGTCCCCTAAAACTAATCCCAACCTAAAGTCGAATACCCCATTTTTCTACCGACTTCAAAAAGGAGGAGGTACTTAATTAGACTGTATGGTTTTTTATGTGTGTTACCTCATAACTTTTTTCTGGGTGAATTGATTTCGATGATTCTTTTTTATTTGAAAGCTGGTGCTTCTCATGTGGTACATTTGATCAAGGTCTGACCAATAGTTTTTGAGTAATTCTTAATAATTTATATTGAAGTTGGTTGAAAAAAAAAATTTAAATTATTAACCTCGTATCTCAAATGTATGTAAATGAAGCACTCTCAGAGAATAAACGCTATGACAGACACAGATAGAACGAAGTGATCCCTCAAGTGTTTCGTTTGCGAAATTTAGCACGCGGGGCACTTAAATGAAACAACTTAGTGTCTTATTTAAATAACGTCTATTTATATTAGATTCAAAACAATGACTGGTGCTTAGTAGGTACCTCATATTTAAGAACATACATTATCAGAAAGAACCTACATTGGCATGCAGCTTGCTATTTCTTGTGTATTTTACTTAAAATTGCGCTTTAACTAATTAATATAAATTAACAACATTGAGATCTGCGATCAGATCTGTTCATGGTATGTGTCCGAAGTCCAACCTTAATGAACATTAGACCACACGACTCTTAACTTTTGCTAAGACTATTATGATTATCCCGTGTCTCTAGTCATAATATATCCTTCCACCGATCTATTTGCCAAATGACGTGAGGATAATTGAAAGATGTGCATCCCCTAATTATTAGAGTATAATACTTTCGCCACAAGCATCTGCGCAGGCGATGACCGCTTGACGTAGCCACTACGCCAAGCCGTTGTTCCTCGCGATCTAATATATAAAATCTATTTTGTTGATAGTTTTTGACAGAATTTGACCGGTGTCATCGTGGTTAAGTTATATACGGAAATTTAAGTCGCCCAGGAAAACTTCGTCATTATATTCCGTGTTTCGTCACAATCATTATTTAGCAGATAAAACTGGTGTACGTGATATCCACATAACCTATAGTACACTAGCAGTGGACAAACCAATGATGATGAAAATAGGTAGATTTATAAAGTATGCCAAATTAGAGATGAAAATCAAGTCAAATTTTATTAGTGATCAATATTATCAGCCACATTCATTAAACTGTGATTTTAAATCTTGAACTTTAATATATAATTTTTAAACATGTTACTCATATTGTAATCATATTGTAGGTATAATATCATTTTCGCAGCGCTGATATCAGTGAGGGGCACTTGTGTACATTTGCTGGTGAAATCAAATTTAGATAAAACTATCTGAAGGTCATTAACTGTATTGCCTGTTGTCCAATGCAAATTAGTTCATTTAAATTTTGAACTAAAACACCACAGCAAAAAGCAATAAGTAACTAATCAATGTAAACGTAGGTACATCTTTACTATGATTTTTGATGACAAACTAAATTTAACACTCGATAAAGCAACATTTCATTGTTTATTTGTCTTAACACTCATCGACCTACTACTGCCTAGACAGTTTAGTAGTCAAATGTGTGTTTAGTAAAATAGTTTCTGTAGGAAAATTACTATTTAAAACAATAATTCAGTAGCATTTTTTGTCATTTTGAATACATCTTAGTCATTTCACATCTTTTGAAATAACGCCACAAAATGATGGTTTATAAAGCAATTTATAATAAACTTCCAGACGTTTGCCAAACTGGTTTAATACCTAAATCGAAACAAGAACACGCCGAAAGCAATGCACGTTAAAAATTTTAATTGTTGATGAACTACATTATACACGCTACGTTACGAGCATATAATATAAAAATTGAGTATTAAAATCTTCTTACCTCCTGGTCGTAACAGCGTGTTTGGATGCACGAAACCATCCTTATGTAGCAACAAATGCCTTGGCTCCGTTGCCAGGTAACAGGTGGAGCCATCAGCGAGGCACTTTTGGAAACACTTTGCGGCCTGATAAAACAAGGCCCAAGCGTGCTCCTCACTGATAGTTGAATTAAATGCCTGCAATATCTGTTGTAGGTTTATACAGTCGGAAGCGTCCAGCGAGAACTCAGTCCCGGGCGCACCGGCACCTTCCTTGCGCATCATTGCGCTATCCAGTTGCTATCGGAGCCATGTTAATAATTTACACACTGCACTATCCACGACACAGGTCGATCGTTTCACCATAAATTTGTTCTATTTCAAACGGCACTGTAAATTTTTCATCCGGATTATCAAATTATTTGATTTTACAATATATCAGTTAGTTACGTGCGGAACTGTCATCGTGTCTCCTAAAACGTCACTGTCAGATTGTTTGCGTTTTGTAAGTGGGTGGTGTAAAAATTGTTTCGGATTGTTTTGCGTGATGGAGATCGCGAGAGCGCGTGCGCGGCAGCCCGTTAAGCCGACACGTACTACGTACATTCACACCGACGGCTCGTGCCGAACTAGCTCGGAGCTCGCTCGCCGCACAGAGCCTTCTCTTCTCCGCAACGCAGCCTCAAGCTCAGACTCCGAGTCTCTGTACACCCTTCCCCGGACGGTATTATTAATACTTCCTTTATTATCATGGCACAAGAAAAACACTGCATTGTCGATAGAAAAGGCGAGGCAAATTATAGAAAAAAATACTTCAAGAATGGTATTAACCACCATAACATTATTAGCACAGAGTACCTTTAATTATTAGACTTGTTACACCTAAGTGTTCACTAATTACAAAACCGCAGTCCACATTCACTACCTTGATGAGGTAATTACTGATATTGAACTATTTTATTTTGGGTTTATCTTATCATGTAGATTGGAAATCCAAACTCTGTAAGTGTGATATATAGACAAGCAGCATTCGACTAAAATAAATGAAAGAACCTTTGTACTTGTACTCGTCCTTTTTATTGAATACTAGCTGTTCCCCGCGACTTCGCGCGCGTGTAATTTAGAGTTTTTATTGAATTTGCACGGAACCCTAATTATTTTTCTAATATAAAAGTAGCCCAAGTTACTCCTTATAACATCAGCTATCTGTCAGTTAAAGTCCTGTAGAAATCGGTCCAGGCGTTTCGGAGATTCATTTTTTTCATTTTTTTAAAACGTTACCCCCCCACAATAGGATTTTCTCCTGTATCGCAGAGGCAGTTTACAAACACCAAATTGCACAAGGACAAACAACCCGAGACCCGGAACAATTATTTGTAGGCCATACAAATACTTGTTCCGTGCGGGATTCGAACCCGCGGCCGCCAGCGTAGCAACTCATTGGTAAGCCACTGCGCCACGGAGCCGTTAGGAGCTCTTGACATTACAAACAGACACTTCAAATTTATTTATCTGTATAGACTATATCATTATGTAAATGGTAGGTATTTAATATAATGAAAATAATTATTATGTTCAACGTCACACTTTATTTGGACGCTCGACATCTAGGTACATGGGATATAATTTTCACGATTACAAAAATAATGTATGAGTATTGAAACTATAATAATTTGAATATGTTTTATTTAGATAAATAACATATGTACCCCATACGATAACATTTACATTAAGAAAATAATTATAATTTTAACGAAAAGAAGACCATAAAGCCGAATGTCCACCGTGAACTAAACTATTCTAAGTGTGAAAACTAGGCTCAGTGAACTAAGCTAAGCTAACCATGGAAATCGTTGCACGTTCACCGAAAAATAAGCTAAATTAAGGCGACACCGCGAAAAATTGCACTTCCTTTCATCGAATAGTATAGGAGTATGACACGACTAACGAAACTGGAATTTTGATATAGGTAAATTCATGTATTTATCTTGAATTTTCTAAAACATTATTTGCGAAAACACCTCTAAAAAATCACTATAGTTGAAATTACTACGAAATTACTTAATCTATATGCTTGGGAACCACTCAAATACATTCATAACATCAATATTCGTAATTTACTTGCTCATTATATTGATTACTAAAATCAATAATATTTTGAAAATATTTTAAGATTCTAAGCGATTTCTAAGCGGTCTGAATCGTCGCAGGCGCTACGCAATTTTAGACCTTATAACAAACAGCGTTTTTGGAGTTTTTATAGAAATTATGTTTCACTTGGGGTCAGTCCGCTTCAACGGTTTTCGATGAGCGCTTAGCTTAGTTCGCGTAGTTTCGGATCGGCCTACACAACTAAGTTATTTTGACTTAGTTTGGCTATTTTACCTTGGTTGGCATAATTTGCGATGGATGCAGAATTACTAAATACTGGCTCAGCTATGCAAGCTAAGAAAAACTAAGTTAGTTTAGTTTGCGGTGGACGTTGGGCTTAATTTTTGAAATTTGTACAATATAAAGGATAATATTGATGTTGCGGTTGTTCGTGGGCGGCGGTAGTCACTTACCATCAGGTGAGCCGCATGATCGTTTGCCCCCTCTCCTATAAAAAAAAAATTATGTACTGTCCTATTTATAGCTTATAATATTTCAAGATAATATCATATTATTCATACAATCACTAAAAGTGGATTAATGCTTAGAGTAGAGTTTTGTTAGATTCCATTTTTAAAACATATTTTGTGTGTTATTAGCTGAATATCCATTTTAATATTACTAAATGTTTTTCATTGCCGAGCATATGGCAAATTAACAAATTTAATACCGACAAAAGCGATAAACTCATTTTGTTCACGTAGGTACTGTGAAGTTGTAGCAATGACCGTACTAAGCTACCAAATAGGTATTCCTTCCTATCTGGGCTTTTCTCTTATAAATGAGCTGTAGAACCCTATTTAATAATAACGGAATGCGCGAGAAGTGCTTCCGTTATTAAGCACTTAACCTTTCATAACGTAACATCTTCGTCCGGCGCTACCTAGGCAATTATCGTGTTTTTCTATCACATAGTAATCTTTCGAACATCTAAGTAATTAGTTTTCCCATCGACATGTTTAGAATAAAAATTATTATAACATATTACATAATATACAATGATTTAGGTTGCGATTATATAATAAGGCTTCTACTTTGATTTGAAATTATCCCAAATTGAATATGATTTATTCATGGGCAACAACGTTTTTGCCTACCGATCGAACCTACAAATTAATGTAGGGTCGATGCGCTGGTTTTCGGCCTTTTAGTGGAGTTGTCAACTTTAAGGTACTAGAAAAAATAATTGCCATTATGATGGCCTAGTGCTCTTAATTTTAATTTATAGCGTACATAATGTAGTTTTCATTTTTATAACTCATTGATGCTACAAGAGGAAACTGTTTTTTATAATAATTTTAGACGTGAAAAATATGTAAAGTGCTAGTTTTCGGCCCCAAACTTTAGATTTCGGCCCACAAAAATTTTAGTTTTCGGCCACTGCATTAGGCAGGATAGAAAAGGTAGTATAAACAAATGTTTTTGTAAAATTATAATAAAATGTAGTGTATTTCTATCTATATCTTTTATTTGCATTAACATGAATAAAATTATTATCAATCAATCGAATAAAATTATTATCAATCAGGTACCACCTTAAGCAAAACAAATTAACTCTTATCAACATTAACAATACTGCAATAAAATTAACAATAACTAGATATATAACAGTTCCAAGACTATCACAGTCACATTAACATAAATATAAGTCTTCTCTTTTTTAATAATATTACTTGAACAACACTCAGTTTTCGTAACATTTTATCAATAACTTTGTTTATCATAATCAGTCTTCTTACAGTTATTCTTATCATTAAAAAATTGAATATTTATTTGAAAATATACTATACTATATACTTTCATTTTTACCCGACTTCACTAAGAAGGACCTCCTCAATTCACCTGATTTATTTTTATGTATGTTTGGGCATAAGTCCGACATACATTCACTGATTTGGATGATTTATATTTATACCCATTTAAGTTTGGTGAGGAAGATATCGCGTAACACACAAAAATCATACTGTCGAATTGAGAACCTCCTCCTTTTTATAAAGTCGTCTAATAACTTATAACAAAAAGTAAACCGCCTTGAAATATATAAAAGTAATGTTAAGGCAAAACAGTTTCAGTCTTCGATAACAGTGCTTTCGATTTCTCTAATTCTTTTTGAATATAAAATATATAAATTATATTTTGTATATAAAATAATAATCATATTTTTCTGTCAATCATAATCTAATAACAAAATCTTAAATATGGCAATCAAATCTTCTCAATCACGATTAAACATGCAAGTATTGCATTTAAAGGGTTTGTTTTGTACTTCCTCATATTTTAGTCCAACAAAATCTGTACATCTCAAATGATACCATGTGGTGCAAAAGTCACATCCAATATTTTTTTCCGAATCTTCTTCTGTATCACTTATTAAAATATCATGACACAAGGCGCAATCTACTCTTGCTCTTTCCTTTTTCTTTATAGAATTCTTTGATTTTGCAATTTTTCGTGTTTGTACTTTAGCACTCTTTAACTTTTCCTTTTCTATTCTTTTCTTTTTCAAAATGTCTTGCCTTTTTTTACTTAATTCTAACTTCTCTATTTTAACTTTCTCTTTATCTTCATAAAATTTTCGCCACTCTGCAGAAGAAATTGCCGCAGATGAAGGTGTACGTATACGGTAAATAGATTTTTTTACGGGTTCCGGTTTAACTAAGTGTTTTTCTATTGCATTTCTATATTCTGTATGTAATAGTGTTGAAGTCGATGTTTCACTAGTTTGTAGAGTCTCTTTTATCGGAATATTAACCAGCACATTTTCTAAAGTTTTAGAGGTCTTGTTTGTTATGATGTGTGTTTCCGGTGGTGGTATCATTGTAATTATTGTACTGCTTTGAGTGGTTGTTGTATTACTGGAATCTATTATCATTTCAGGAATTTTCAATATTGATGTCGTTGGTTGGCTTATTTGAGTTGGAATTACAAGTATATCCTCTAACGATACTAAAGAACCAATTTCCAAATAACTTCCTGACAAATGCAATGATGATATATTGTCATCAATTAACGATTCTGATGCATCGGTAGATGAATCCTTAGTTACCTGAACATCGTGGGTTAAAGTCCTTTGATCTTGGTCTGTGTTGCACAGACTTTCTGGAGACTTAAATGGATTTAGCGGTCTTATATTACTTAATTGGGGAAGTAAGTTTTCATTGGTCTGGCTGTGAGGAATGGTTTCAAAAGAATCCATTTTTGTCGTGTTAAAATCATCTACATGGCTGGTCATATTATTATTTTCTTCTTCAATTATTTGAGATGTCGTAATATTGACTGTTGAGTTCGTTCGGTCTTCAGAGCATGTTTCGTATAAAACGTCATCGATTTGTATCTGAGAAGACTTTCTTTTCAGTTTCCTCATCTCCTTCAATATAATTGCAACTTTTATGTTTTTTTTCTGCCAGAGTTAATTTTAAATGTTTTAAAACTTTCCTTGCGGAAACTAGGTCTGCGTTAGTTATCTCTTTGGAAATATTT